TAAATTATATAATTTACTTGAAAATTATTTGAATGTTTTCTATCTGATGAAAGTACAGTAGAGCGTCGTTTATCCGAATCAATTGGGAACTGTGGTCATTCGGATAACTTATTTTTCGGATAACCGATTAGGTACGAAAAAATATATTAACCTATCCCGTGTTGAAATTTTTCTCCGTTGCGTGTCGCTTCGCGTTGAATTTTCGTCGATGTTAAGCCTAACGTAAACTTTTTAAAATAATAATCGTGGCTATTGTATCGTTAAAAATTATTTCTTTATTTTTTTACAAACAAAATAAATATATTGAAAAATATAAAAACAAAAAAANCTTAAGACGCAGTTTAGAAAGCAAAACGAAACTAGATAAAAAAATGTCTAGATGAGCGAAGGTGTCATAGTCAACAATTAAACGCGATCAGATTCGAAAAGATGGTGTCGGATAAACCATCTCCAGCCGACCTTTTCCACGAACTTAACGAAGCTCCATTTACACCTGGAGACAGGTGGATGACCAATTGGAAAAATGTGATGTAAGATCTATCCAATTGACAAGGAGCCGATCGCAAAAACCCTATAAAAACGCAAAATTCAAGGACAACGGGACTTCCACTAAGACTTCCACCAACACTCCCACCTAGTCTTCTGTTGTGTTCGTGTCGACTCCGCTTATTTTTATATCCCCGCTCTTCTTTTTGTGCACCGACTTTAGAGACTTTGAACTTTTTCCTTACAACACTGTCAAAAGGGGCCCCTACGACGCTGGACCAGATCGCCGTCGAAAATCCCTCCAGCGTAGGACCAAATCGACACCGAAAACAACTTACGAAGACAACCCGAAGTTCTGAACTTAAGGACCTTTGCCAACAAAAATTATGTAAGCGTTATCGTCCGGAATAAACGGTTTACCTTTGTAAACACTTGTCTTTGCTGCCTTTAAAAACCGCCACCCACATACGCTAAGACCTTAGACCATCCCGACGATAAAGGAATAAAAATCTCCCCCCAATCGGCGTTCTTACATTATATATTTTATAAATAATAGAAAGTTGTTTAAAATTCGGCAAATTGTTAATTAGCCCCAATCAACGAAACGATTGGATAATGATTTTTTATGTGACCTTGTCCTCCTAATCAGGATACCACTATTGAAAACCTGTTTTCTTGTTAAAATAATATATGTGTACTAACCGATTTTTGGGTTTAATTTATACAGTCGCCGAATCGACAAAAACTGAATAATTTCTAATAGAAATTTTATTTCCGAGTGACCTTCAATACAAACAAGATCTCGAGTATAAGATAAGATCATCGATTCTTAAAAATAGTGTTGTGCATTTCAAGTATAAAGTTAATTAACAGCCATAGGTTGCAATTAAAATTAATTCATAATTTAATACAAGTTCATATACTATATTATTTGTAGGTCAAATAGAGAAAACGAAAATATAATCCTATACCTGCAGGGGCTTGTGAGACAAAAAGTTTCTTCATAGAGACCAGCAACAGTCGTTTTTTTTTCATTGTTCCAAGACAAGAAAATTATATATTTAAACAGAATTATATCATCGTCTCATTTATAAATATAGTAATTTCTGTATTAGGAACATTTCATAAAAAGTAATAATGACGTGAATGTTAAATAGCATATAACTATAAAAAGACACGTTTAAACAATTGATTTAAAACAAGTTTCATGTTAATTATGCAGAAAAAAATTTTGAGTGTTATTCTGAACTTCCTATTGTTCAGCAGGCAGACACGTGATAAAAACGTCAAACTTGCACAAAATGAGATGTTTATGTTTGAAAAAATCTCACAAATTGCGTTGAAATCAATTTTGTTGCGATGGTCGCATTTTTCTATGAATAATTCGCCAATAGTAATTTCGTTTATTAATTACGATTATTAACTTGTTAATTAAAATTATAACAATAATATCGCTACATCCGATATACTATAAAGCTAGACATGAACTAATGCCGAATTCTATCGGGCTAGATACAGCTAATTACCGTATAAATTATGAAACCAATTTGTCACTAGCGCCATCTCTTAATTATTTTAACAATTATAAATTTTAATTAAAATTATTTAAATAACTTAAAAAAATTAATATTTGACGAATTCGAGTTGTGAATTCGAGTCGCCCTAACGCCTCCCTCTACTGCCAAATTGGTTGCATAATGTATTTAGTAATTAGACGTATCTACCCCGATAGAATTGGGCATTGGTTCCTGTCTAGCTTTAATATTATATCGTTCGACGATTATATTTACTGCTGTGACAAAAGAATTATAAAGAGGTATGTAATTTTAAAAATTATTTAATGTACTTATAGAAGAAAATCAGATAAAATAAAGTTAGTTTCTCTTCTTATTTCATGCACGACGGTAGCAAATTTATAATAAAAATCAGTAAGAATATTCAATTATATATTTATAATATCATACGATCCATCTTGCTTTATTATTTTAAGTTTAATACTGATTATTAGGGAATGTTTTGCGAGAATACGTTCGAGGGGTATCGCCTTCTTCTCGGATCTGGAGGATCCGCTCACTGCCTCTAAGGATGACTAAATCGAGTGGAAGTGAAGATCAAGATCGTGTGATCTCGATCACGTCAGGATGCTGACACCAGTTAAACTATTATTTTCGCGGTTTAACTCGCGATTTAATTATTATTGTTATTTCTAAAAAAGAGGGCTAAATAATTTCGTGTGTGGAATGCATAGGTAAGTGATAGGATGTCTGGCCATGAACAAACCGAAGGAATAACAAAATTTAATAATATAAAATGAAATAAAATCAGTCTACAAATAGACTATTCCAACATTATATTTATCTTAACTATCTATATGAGCGATATGAGTGAGAGAGTTTACAAACGATATTATATTACCTCTGTAATAACTTGACTTTTCCCAATTATATTTGGTGGAAGGAAGTTCTAATCCCCGAGAGTATGGCACACATTCATAATAAGAGAATATTGGACGATGTGCAATGTGTACGGAATTTGGCGCGTATCCTGTATTTATACTATTTTTCTCCTATAATAGAGATTAAGAATTAAGATCATCTGACTGGGTGTCATAAGTCTTTTTGGTTTAGTCAGCCCTTTAGTCATGGAAGATAAAGATCTCTCAGGAACTGACTGTCATCACAGGATGCATTTGTTCCTTGTTCTCTTTGATTATTAGCTTTGATAAAATTTATCGAAATATTACATTTAATTTTAAAAGATTTTCTATGTAATTTTTAGAATATTTTAGCTCAAAATATTCAGAATCTCACATAGCTTCCCACTTTTCAAAAATCACAATATCTTAAAAAGGCGTGATTTTTCTCTAAATAGAGATACAGGTAATTCGTGTACATTTGTGGTTTTTCTTACTTTCTCTTTCAAACATTACATCAATAACAGTTTTACATTAAGTAAAATAAATTGGTTACATTTCATATTGTGTTTAAATTGATAAAATTTCATATAAGAATTACACATTTAGGAATTACTTAGAATAATACGAAGGTAAATGATTATGAACAAAATTATTTGGATTAACAAGCAAATTATATACGCGTACAGGCGTTCGAATATATTTTCTTTTCAAAAATTACAAAGTTTATCAGCTTAGGAAGTTGTTCTGTCGGTTGCTTCTTTCCTTTATTGAGTCCAAATGTAAGAGTTCATATGAAGTTTATACTTCTTTTCAAATTGTCTTCTGTTAGCAGAGATAGTTGTGGATTTCTGGCGAAAGGTTCTGTTGTGTACTCCAACCTGCAGGACTTCTGACAATTAAACTGTTGAGTAGTTCTTAGAGTTTAGAAATCGTCGAATTGCAGTAATCAAAATGGTTGGAACAATCTTAAATATTTCTCTTATGTAGGAGGTAATTTACTTTAGAAATTTTAATTAAAATACTCTCTCTCGTAAAACTATAAACTTAAAGCTATTCCTTCATAAAATTATATGTGACTACATTATTCTACTNTATAAGATCAGTGCCGTAACTGGGCAGGTGCACCTGTTGCAATAATAAAACAAATACATGCATTTTGGAACCCCTTGAAAGGGGTTCCAAAATGCATGTATTTGTTTTATTATTGCAACAGGTGCACCTGCCCAGTTACGGCACTGATCTTATATGTTATTCAAAAATCAACTTAAAGTTTCATATTATCTAAAAGATAAAGCATTTCCTTTAAGATTCCCTCTTGGAAATTGTCTCTACTTTTTACATCAAACATATTTGAATCATAGGAGCAGTTTTGCTCTTTATGCAGCTTCTGTGGTCATGGAATTAATTTTTGTACCTTTTGAACTTCTTGTCTTTTTCGGGGAACTTCTTGTGAACTTCTTGGCCTTTGGACTTCTTCTATATGCCCTTCTCCTATATCTGCGCGCAGACAAGACGACCTTCAGATAAGGTCGTCTTGTCTGCGCAATGGAGTTATATAATAGTAGTATATATAGGAGAGACTCTGGGATAATTTGTTAAACTTTTAAAGGTTTTTAACTTTTATCCCAGAAACTCTCATCATTTTGAAGGAAAGTCGTCGAGCAGGGGCAAAAATCTGGCATAATTTTAAAATCGCTCGAGAGATTCTGAGATAATTACTATCCCAGAAACTCTCATAGAAGTCGAAACCACACCCATTTCCGATGCCCCTTCGGTTATACTTTTCCGCACGATTTGAACGAGCGTTTCTGAAATAAATCGCTCCGTTATAAGAGTAGCTTTAATATTATATCGTTCGACGATTATATTTACTGCNTAACTATTTGACATTATACATAGATTTTTATGTTTTAGAGTTGAGTAAGTTATATATGTACCAAATATATTACGAAATATTTAAAATTTATTATAAAGATAGGGTTAAACTTTTGTATACAGATACCGATTCTTTAATTTTAGAAATTTACACAGACGATATTTACGACGATCAATAAAAACAATCTTCCGAACATATTTGATTTTAGTAATTATCCTGTAGACCATCCACTATACAGCGAAGAAAATAAAAACGAATTTGGATTTTTCAAAGATGAAGCAAAATCATTAGCAATATCGGAATTTGTAGGTTTAAAAGCTAAAATGTATTCGATTTCTGGAGAGCGTTATGAGAAAAAAAACGGCAAAAGGTATAAATAAATCAGTTGTTAAATCAACTTTTTACCACAAGCTATATAAATCTACTCTATTTAAAAAACAACAACTTCATCATAACCAAACTCAAATAGTTAGTAAAAATTACGTGATCACGACTCAATTTCAAAATAAAATCTCTCTTTCGGATTTTAACAATAAGAAATACATTTTAAATACAGTAGAGCGTCGATTATCCGAAAGTCAATCATCCGAAAGAATTCCAGTTGGCAAATTTAAATTTTCGCCAGTGCTGTGGAACTGCAATCTTTGGCAATGTCTTGGGCTACTCAAATATTTTACGTTTTTGATACTAAATTAACTGCTGAAGTATAATTTTTTATTGTTTTTATATTTTTCAATATATTTATTTTGTTTGTAAAAAATAAAAAAAAAAATGTTAACGATACAATAGTCTTCGTTAAGCTTAATATCGACGAAAATTTAACGCAAAGCGACACGCAACGGAGAAAAATGTTAAGATGGGATAAATTAATATATTTTTTCGTACATAATCGGTTATCCGAAACATCGATCTTCCGAACAACCCCAGTTCCCAATTGATTCGGATAATCGACGCTCCACTGTAATGGAATACATACTTTATCTTATGGTCATTATTCTATTTCTTCATAGACATTTTTTCAATCCATTTTTTAATACTTTAATATTATTGTATTTTATATTTTATTACAATAGAGCCTCGATTATCCGACCTAATTAGGAACTGGGGTTAGTCGGATAATTGAAAGGGCGGATAACCGAAAAGTATGAAAAAATCCATTATTAGTGTAGTATATTATTATATGCTATGTAATTAGTATTATTGTATTGTTAAAAAATTATAAAGTTAAACCTCGTTTAAATACTGGCTCCCTTTCATGATCGATCCAGTGTTGCCAGCTAAAACACGTAAAAATAATATTAAAGTAGCCAAGACATAGCCAAATATTGTAGTGTCACATCAATAGCGGACATTTGAAATTTGCTGACTAGGACAGTAGGTTAACCGAGGGGTCGGTTGATAGGGGTCGGATAATCGAGGCTGTACTGTAATTTTATATATTATTGTATTCATTATTTTAAAATTCTTAAATGAAAATGTAATATTTTTAAATATTATTATAATCGTTATTTTTTATGAAAAAATGTAATCGTTTATTATTATTGTAATCATTTTTTATTTCCAATAAAAGAGAGAGAGTTGTAGTCCTTTATTTAATCGCCATCGCGACATAAAAGAAAAACTGGGGAGTATTAAACACAATATATGCCGAAAAACATCTAATTTCGAAGAAAAAAAAATATATTAAAATTTTAAAAAATGTTATTTAATATATTTGTTTCCAGATGGCGCCACGATAATCACTTGCATTTAAAAAAAATGTTACAATATCTTTAGTCTCCCCGTTATGTATATATAAAACGTCTAAAATTATCTATAGAAATAAATGTTTTCTTATAACGGAGCGATTTATTTCAGAAACGCTCGTTCAAATCATGCGGAAAAGTATAACCGAACGGGCATCGAAAATGGGTGTGGTTTCGACTCCTATGAGAGTTTCTGGGATAGTAATTATCTCAGAATCTCTCGAGCGATTTTAAAATTATGCCATTAATGAAGATTTTACTTGTTAGCATTTACAAAGATTTATAAACTCACCTTTACCTTCAAAATTATGTTTTGCTGTTTTATAATAATTAAAAATATAGAAATATTTTATAACAAAATTTCATAACAGATGGCGCCACATTCGATTTAAGTTAGTTATTTTGATTACAAATGTTATTTTTAAAATAAAATCTCATAAAAACAGAGAAAGCAACGCAACTCGCTGTTAAATTTTTTAAATTATTTTTTAGCAGCAGAAAATAATTACTTCTTTGCGAGGGGTTTTGAGATACACCAAAACGACTGCTACAGACTTAAGTAATGAAACGTCTTCTAAGTGTTTGACAAGTCAAGCAGAAAGTCCTAATTGCAAATCAACGGTTGTGAAAAAAGTGCGAATCTAAATTAAAATGTTTTAATAATGAATACGTTTTTTCAGTCAAAAGGAGATTCTCGCGAAAAATTGTCATCAAAATCGTGGAAATGTGACATCTGTTTTGCTTTAAATTTTGGCTCCACGAATGTAGTGTTGCCACCTTTTCAAAATCGCTGACCCGGAAGGCATGTCAGGTTTGTTCGAACAGTAGTTCCTGACGCATGCCCAATGTCATTTTTTCAATGCGAAATGAATAAGTGCATGCCGGTTCTAAATCAGTTACAGTTAGGGGCTTTTTTTAAAATTCTTTCCGCCCTGTGGGAACTAAGTGGCCATCTTTTTGCAGACCCATTATGGGTTCGGCCAGGCCCACAATGGGGCTGCCGGATGGTGAGGGACGGGACCCGACATATCCGAACGGACCACCCCCCGAAAAATACCTGGGGATTTTTCGACCCGCTCGGAACTAACTCGGGTCCCTCAGAGCGGTAGGCTGCCACCTTGACCGCTCGGCCATCCGGCCGCTACAGTTAGGGGCTAGGGAAACTTGGGTAGGAGTAACGTAAGTAACCTAAATTAAGAAAAACAACTACAGATGACTGTTACATAAAATAAAATAAAATAAAAGGTCGACAGGTTGCGCCCGATTTTCCCGGAAATAATAAATAGTTTACCCGGACAGTGAGTCGATTCCCGGACTGTCCGGGTGAAAACCGGACGGGTGGTAACACTAACGTGGAGATGTTATTTGTGTGACAGTTTGCGATTTGATGTATCTAAATTTACAGGTCAATATACAAAAAATTTAAAAGTATATTATTGTTTTACATAAAGTCACTTCAAATCTGTGCGATATTCTGTCTTAATCATATTGTATCAATTATTTTTGATTAAGTTTTAAATTATATCATCCAGCGAAAATTAAAAAAAAAAATAAAAGCGACTACGTCTTAATTTTTTAAATGGATATCAATATTAAGATATACAAACATCAATTTAACCATTCTTTTATTAATGTTTAATAATAGTTACTCTATACCAGTGATGCGCAAACCGTCGCTCGCGACTTTTTTTGGGGTAGCGAGAAAATTTTTCGGGGTCGTCAAATTCAAAGAAATTTATTTGACAATAAAAAATATAAGACTTTTCTTCAACAAGTATATGCATAAATAAAACTATTCTTTCATAAAATTATGCGTTTTATTCAGGCCTCTAATAAGGCAGAAACATAAGCTTAAATCCCAGAAAAAATTTTACTTCAAATACGTTGACGATTAAAAAAACGTCTACTGTCTATTCAGGGGTCGCGACAAAATTTTACACAAAATGGGGGAAGGGTCGGAAATGAAAACAGTTTGTGCACTACTGCTCTATACTGCAGTTGATAAATTTTTCAATTTTATTAATGTTTTTTTTTTGTGCAATTACAATTTTTACGTTGTCAAGGTTTTCCTGGAGAAATCCTTGACAAAAAGAAAAACGAAACTTGAGGAAACTTCATCAGAACATGATCATTGTTTATATAAATAATAATGCAAGATAATTGTTTAATGATTTTGCTTACTTAAGCACTAATATAAAAACATAATAAATCAGTTAATATGAATAATATAAAAATGTTTATCACGAATGCACTCTTCTCAAAAAATTAAATTAATAAATTTTTCACTTTGTAATTTGGAAGATAACTCTTCGTCAATAAAGATAATACGGTTTTTTTTATCTTGAAATAAAAAATACAAGCTAATCTTGTCCATTGTTTCTAATTTTTCATTCAGTTCGTCCAGATAGAGTACATACAAAAGAGAAGTGTGATGATTTGTATTTGTTCTAAGTAAGAGTTAATACTAAGGCAGTTTATTTTAAATGAATTAAATGACAGATCATAAAGCATTAAAAAGTGTATAAACGTTACTACATCAATAACTGAACAACTGCCAAATCAATCGTCGATGGCTAACAACTTTGTGTGTTTTTACACATCCCGAGTTTCTTTGTAAGCTGTTTGTTTGCAGAAAGAATGTCGCCTTCTTAACACACTTGTATATACAGTATTTGCGTGAACTAGAAATTATATATGTATATATATAGACACAAACTCTCTTTTTATTTATAGTAGCATCGAAGTGTAATGGCATGAAAATAGAAACCGAATAATCGAATTTCAAATGGATTTCAGTTGTAGCATTGAGAAGTGTACGATATAAGAAAAAATACTCATTAAAACATTCTGCATTGTTTCGTTTCTTGTATTTAAAAAAAAAAATATTAATAAAATTCTTTACTTTGATCGGTTTATTTGGCTTCCTTTACTTTATCGATATGTTTTAAATTAACTAAAGTTTTTATTAAAAAAAATATACGTAAAGATTTATATTTGCAAAACTACTTAAATATTATTATATATATAAATTTTTTACGTATTCGTCGAGTTATATTAAAAAACTTCCACGTTATGAAATGTTTTTTACTCGTACAAATTTTTAATTTATCAAAAAAAAATAAATGTATTTGTTTGGAAATTTTTTCCAGAAGTCAGCCCTACATCAAACATTAAAAGCTTTTTTATGTTTTGTAAGAATTTTGATAAAATAAACCAATCGAGTTGTAACTTTTATCAATATGTGTATATTAATAAAGTATTTTTAGGAAGTTTATTTTTTCCCAACTCCAAACTAAGTCCGAGGTGAAAAGATATAACACTATTTTTTTAATAGACACAAACTGTGTAGTGGATATCCCATATTTGTTTAGCAATTAATTGTTCGATTCCGAGTTTTATAATTATTTCTTTCTTCTGCTTATGTTAAAGTTAAAATATTTATTTAAATTACACGATAAAACATACGTCTAAAACGGAACCCGAATTAAAAGAATACCAGCACGAAAGGAAAAATTCTTCGGTACGAAGCAATTGTATATGTTAAAAGGAAAACCTATTCAAAACGAAATATTATTTGGTACCTGCGACTCTTGTTTACACAGGTTTTATTGTATATTTTATTTGGTTTACGGANGTCTATTCAGGGGTCGCGACAAAATTTTACACAAAATGGGGGAAGGGTCGGAAATGATAACATTTTTCGCACCACTGCTCTATACGGCGGTTGAAAAAGTTTTCAATTTTATTAATTTTTTTTTTGTGCAATTACAATTTTTACGTTGTCAAGGTTTTCCTGGAGAAATCCTTGACAAAAAGAAAAACGAAACTTGAGGAAACTTCATCAGAACATGATCATTGTTTATATAAATAATAATGCAAGATAATTGTTTAATGATTTTGCTTACTTAAGCACTAATATAAAGACATAATAAATCAGTTAATATGAATAATATAAAAATGTTTATCACGAATGCACTCTTCTCAAAAAATTAAATTAATAAATTTTTCACTTTGTAATTTGGAAGATAACTCTTCGTCAATAAAGATAATACGGTTTTTTTTATCTTGAAATAAAAAATACAAGCTAATCTTGTCCATTGTTTCTAATTTTTCATTCAGTTCGTCCAGATAGAGTACATACAAAAGAGAAGTGTGATGATTTGTATTTGTTCTAAGTAAGAGTTAATACTAAGGCAGTTTATTTTAAATGAATTAAATGACAGATCATAAAGCATTAAAAAGTGTATAAACGTTACTACATCAATAACTGAACAACTGCCAAATCAATCGTCGATGGCTAACAACTTTGTGTGTTTTTACACATCCCGAGTTTCTTTGTAAGCTGTTTGTTTGCAGAAAGAATGTCGCCTTCTTAACACACTTGTATATACAGTATTTGCGTGAACTAGAAATTATATATGTATATATATAGACACAAACTCTCTTTTTATTTATAGTACCATCGAAGTGTAATGGCATGAAAATAGAAACCGAATAATCGAATTTCAAATGGATTTCAGTTGTAGCATTGAGAAGTGTACGATATAAGAAAAAATACTCATTAAAACATTCTGCATTGTTTCGTTTCTTGTATTTAAAAAAAAAAATATTAATAAAATTCTTTACTTTGATCGGTTTATTTGGCTTCCTTTACTTTATCGATATGTTTTAAATTAACTAAAGTTTTTATTAAAAAAAATATACGTAAAGATTTATATTTGCAAAACTACTTAAATATTATTATATATATAAATTTTTTACGTATTCGTCGAGTTATATTAAAAAACTTCCACGTTATGAAATGTTTTTTACTCGTACAAATTTTTAATTTATCAAAAAAAAATAAATGTATTTGTTTGGAAATTTTTTCCAGAAGTCAGCCCTACATCAAACATTAAAAGCTTTTTTATGTTTTGTAAGAATTTTGATAAAATAAACCAATCGAGTTGTAACTTTTATCAATATGTGTATATTAATAAAGTATTTTTAGGAAGTTTATTTTTTCCCAACTCCAAACTAAGTCCGAGGTGAAAAGATATAACACTATTTTTTTAATAGACACAAACTGTGTAGTGGATATCCCATATTTGTTTAGCAATTAATTGTTCGATTCCGAGTTTTATAATTATTTCTTTCTTCTGCTTATGTTAAAGTTAAAATATTTATTTAAATTACACGATAAAACATACGTCTAAAACGGAACCCGAATTAAAAGAATACCAGCACGAAAGGAAAAATTCTTCGGTACGAAGCAATTGTATATGTTAAAAGGAAAACCTATTCAAAACGAAATATTATTTGGTACCTGCGACTCTTGTTTACACAGGTTTTATTGTATATTTTATTTGGTTTACGGAAAAGGAAGAAATACGGAAGGAATATTGTTATATTTTATCATTGGAACATATACAATAGATAGATTTTGCAGCCGCAACATCAATATTATCATTTAAAACTATAATCGTATTGTAAATTATATCAAATGTAGGTGCAGAGTGAGTGCTACATAACGTCTAACGATTAAGATTGAACGGTGACTGAAATTAATAAACAATTATACAGATATAAGATTGTATTATTGCCCTTATATTCCATTTATGTCTTTTAGAACAGATTATTAACGCAAAAGAAAACTGAAATTTGTTAAGTTGGAAAAAGCCTTAGAATAAAAGCAGTATGCATCTTTTGTTGGCAGGTTGCCCGTGTGTTGCGTGTCTTAATTCATCAATTTTATAATCCGAAAATAATGTGACAGGAAACAAATGCCTAAATGGATCCGAGATAAGTAAAGAAC